CAGCAGGAGTAGTATTGCAGAATTAGAAAGATGTGATGCACAGCAAGCAAGTGCAGACTTTTAAGCAATGCTACTTGAGAAAGGTGAGATAGCAATGACTGACAACTAACAGAGCTTCTGATTCGAAGAAGTCTGCTTACTGTGGAATGGAACACTGAGCTGTTTAAAAAAACTCAAGTGGGAAGGAGTTGGTGGGGATCAGTTGGAGTTGGAGGTAGGAAGGAGAGTTAACAGGAAAAACTCCTAGTGAGAGACTCTTGCCTGTGATCACACACACAAAATAATCCACTTTCAGTCCATTTTCAATGCACTTTTGAATTGGATTTTGCCAGTTCACACAGTAAAAATCCAATTTGAAAGTGGATTGAAAGTATATACACACACACACACACATTCTATATGCATGTATTTCTGGATGTGTGTAATTGTAAAATAAAGAATATTGACCACTGAGGAAGGCCCGAAGGGGCCCAAACGTGTATGGTCCTTAGGTCAAAGGTTTTACCCATCAATTGGATCTGTATAACAATCAGTTTTGAATGATATCGCTTTGAGTCTGATATTTAGACTATTTTTTTTAACCTTATGTATGTTTTATTCATGTGTACACATTAATAAACTTTTGTATATTTTTATAATAATTTATTTGTTAGCTTGACCCTCTTAGTTCGCAGCTACATTTTGGGTTGAGATCCCCACCTCTTTTTCAGTTTTTGTTATGATTGAAGAATAGTAATAAAAAGACCACTATGAGTTTTGTTCCCTTATTAATTTATACATATTACTTATTTGTTCAGTCTTGTAGACAACATTTGAGTAATCGAATGTTGTTTTAAAGTGTGTGAAATTGTTGTAGTAGGCCAACTGACTCTCTGTACGTACAATAACAAGCACAAATCATTTTAAATCATTTAATTCTTTCTCCTAATTATCTGGTCTCTGCTATTCAGATCAGGTCTCAGAAGAATGATGTAGCATTTAACAGAGAAGATCCAAGCCAGTAATGCAGCACTGGAGGCCAAGATAGAGAAGATCTCCACAACTACCATATATTTCCCTTTGGTGCTCAGATAGGTTGGAACAAAGGACATCCAAACACTGCAAAAGATCAGCATGCTGAAAGTGATGAATTTGGCTTCATTAAAATTGTTCGGCAACTTCCTGGCAAAGAAAGCAACAGCCAAGCTTATGAGAGACAATAGTCCCAAGTAACCCAGGACAACATAAAACATGACCACAGACCCTTCATTACATGCTGCCACAATCTTCT